CGATGGGGAGGTTGTGGCACCACCCCCTGTCACGCACAGAGCAGGGCAGATCAGGGGGTTGGGGCGCTGCACCCTGTCACACACAGAGCAGGGCTGATCAGGGGGTTGGAGAGCTCCCCCATGTCACGCACAGAGTAGGGCCGATCAGGGGGTTGGGGTGCCGCCCCCTGTCACCCACAGAGCAGGGCCGATCTAGGGGTTGCGGCACTGCTCCCTGTCACACTGCTCCAGGGGCCCTGAGGCCTCGCGGCTCCGCTGATCCTGGGGCAGTGAGGCCTCCCTGCTCCGCGGCTTCGGGGCTGTTTGGCGGTTAATTTGCATATCGCCCTGATTAGCCAATGGGAAGCGTAGGGTTGGGGAGCTCCCCCCTGTCACGCACAGAGCAGGGCCGATCTGGGGGTTTCGGCACCGCTCCCTGTCATGCTGCTCCAGGGGCCGGGAATCCTCGTGGCTCCGCTGATCCCAGTTCTGGGAGGCCTCGCTGCTCCACTGATCCTGGGGCCGGGAGGCCTCACGGCTTCGCTGATCCCGGGCCTGGAGGCCTCGGGGCTCCGCTGATCCAGGCAGCCGGAAGGCCTCTCGACTCCACTGATCCCCGGGCATTGAGGCCTCTCTGCTCTGCGGCTTCAGGGCTGTTTGGCTTCGCTCTACCGGGCTCCGCTGATCCTGGGGCAGTGAGGCCTCCCTGCTCCGCGGCTTCGGGGCTGTTTGGCGGTTAATTTGCATATCGCCCTGATTAGCCAATGGGAAGCGTAGCAGAGGTACGGTTAATTACCCTTTTTGTCTTTTATTAGATAGGATTTTAGATAGGAAGGGAGAGGGAGATAGAAACATCAACAATGAGAGAGAATCATTGATTGGCTGCCTCCTGCAAGCCCCACACTAAGGATTGAGCCCACAACCCAGGCATGTGCCCTGACCGGGAATTGAACCATGACCTCCTGGTTCATACGTCGATGCTCAACCACTGAGCCATGCTGGCTAGGCTGCACCTGTTTGTATTTCAGTAATATCTAAATGCAAGGGCTTTGGATATTTTTGGCAGGGCTATATCGTCAGATGCCATCAATCAGCTATTCTAAGACTAGAGAAGAAGTCCAGATTGGCCACAGCCACATACCTTCGGTCACTTGGATTACAACTCTTTTGCCCCCTCCTTTCATTGATTGGCTGCCTCCTGCAAGCCCCACACTAAGGATTGAGCCCACAACCCAGGCATGTGCCCTGACCGGGAATTGAACCATGACCTCCTGGTTCATACGTCGATGCTCAACCACTGAGCCACGCTGGCTAGGCTGCACCTGTTTGTATTTCAGTAATATCTAAATGCAAGGGCTTTGGATATTTTTGGCAGGGCTATATCGTCAGATGCCATCAATCAGCTATTCTAAGACTAGAGAAGAAGTCCAGATTGGCCACATACCTTCAGTCTCTTGGATTACAACTCTTTTGCCCCCTCCTTTTTGCCTTCCATGTAAATAAAAAATGCATGCCGAACAGAAGAATACATACTTGAAGGTTTCTACTAATAGTCAACGTGGGGAGCATAGAAGCATGAGAGGTGTGCTTTCCCACCTTCAGACATGCAGTCTTAGCTGAGCTGGCTCACTGTCTTATGCAAAGGAAACTCAGCAGCCAATATGCTGCTTAGCTATTTGAGACCTTTCATAACGACAGCTCCATCGATTACATAAGAAGATGTGGAAAACCTGAGCATGGTGGCGCTTTAATCCTTTTACCCCCAAGCCTCATACATACACATTCAATCTTACACATCAGAAGAAATCAGGTGAGATGATTAGGTCATCTTGGGGAGTATTTCCCCAAAGTCATCCTGGAAGCCAAAAGTGGCTGAAGTTTTGTGAAAGTTCAGTGAATGAGAAGACCCTGGGACCCACCGTTTTAACTTCCCACTGCATTTTCAAAGAGTAGTTCTGCTAGGGGTGGGGAGGGGGAATACCAAGAAACAAGGCCTGCCTTAGCTTAGATTCCTCAGATTTGAGTCTATCCGCCTCCTTTTTGAAATGACTAAAGGGCACTATCCTGCTTAGGGCACTGACCCCACAACAATCTACCTCCCTCCCTGGAGGTCTGCCACTCTCTGGAGAGCACCAAGATCATCCCTTAAGACTTTATGTTCCAAAAGGCCAGGTGACTTTTTTTTCAAGGAAATTAGAAAGTAAGTTGGGTATTGATCTTGGCAAGAAAAAATGTGTGAATTTATTTGACTAGGATAAGATTCATTATTTTTTAATCCTCACCCGAGGATATTTTTCCCATTGATTTCTCTAGAGAGACTGGAAAGGAGTGAGAAGGGGAAGAGAGAGAGAGAAACATGGATGTGAGAGAGACACATTGATTGGCTTCCTCCTGCATGCTCTCTGGCTAGGGCTGGGATCA